GTTTTTACTGTTGGGTAACAGTCTCCACTATTTTAGGGAGTACTTGGTTTCCTTCACAAAAGTGCTGCTCACAGGGAAAGCAAGATGGCCGCCCGCACAGTGGACGCCGGTCAACACCCCAGGCTATCCTGTCCTTTCTCATGGAGTAAGGGAGCTCCAGGACAAGCTGGAGGGGCTGGGGCACACACACACACAGAGGCTGCCAAGGGCGGGCTTCCTATCAGCCAGGCTGCCTGGCACAGCCTGTGCTGAGTGCCAAGCAGAGACCAGCACTGCGGGCCGCCCACGCCCTGGGGCCTACCTGCCACACCGTAGCACGACAGCTTTGTCCTGGGCATGGACTTGCAAACCCCCACTTGGGGACCTTGGCTGTGCCTGGATCACTTCCCAACCGGGGAAAAGTCACCGCTTTACCTCCTCCCCCTCACCTGACGCCGTTGACCTCCCAAGATGGTGGGCCGGCTCTCAGTGGGCCACATGAGCTGAATGGCCCGTCCGGACCTCAACTCTCCTCCTGCAGTTCTGTGGCCTCTCGGCAGGGTGCCCGCCACTTGGAGGCTGGAAGCAGGTACTACTGGGGGGTCCGTTATCCTGCCTTCTCCCACCTTCTCTGCCACTGCCACCCACAGACAATCCCTAGGCTCCAGCGCTTGTTCCCTAGATCCACGTGCTTCTCCCTCTGATCAAACGCTCACTGACACTGAAAACTTGGCAGCCCGGTAGTCAGAAGACAAGCGGGCTGACATCTAATCCCTTCATGGTAGCCACAGATGTCAGACCCTGGGAGTGCTCGGCCTGCTAGATACACAAAGAACTGTGACAAAGGCCTTCCACACCCACAGGAAGTCATCCAGCCTAGAGGACTGGCCAGGACTCATTTGCTAGGGGCTGGGTTTTGTTTACCATGGGATAACGGTGCCTTTTCAAGAAAGCCATGAGCGTGAACACACACGTATAGACAAGGGCATGACATCCGGAGTGCAAAGGTACTTTTTCTGCTTGAGTGGGCCTGGACCCTCGGTGTTCGCGCTCTCAGATGCCTGGCTCGCTGCTGGTTTTAGCTCACTGAGCTTAACAATGACTAGACCCTCACTAACCTTGCTCTAGGTTGGCACCACCATTTGCTGTCACACTGAGGGGGGATTGTAGAAAAGCTTTGGCTTACATGGGTGGAACTCACCAATCCTTCACTTAAGTGTGCTCACAGGTCCGCTGACTCGAGGGCTGAAAGCCCAGTGAACATGAAGAGCATGCGCACACCATCCCGCTTCATCTCATAAACATTACAAAGACCCTGCATCCTTGGGGAGGTGGTTTGAATCTGGGGCTCCCCTACTACAGCTCCAGTGACTGGCAATCTGGTCTAGTGATGGGTAGAATGGTCTGGGGTGGGGTGTGAATGAGTTGAAATCCTAACTCTCCGTGGTGTGGAATGGAGAAGTAGGGCTATTACTAATGTGGCCAAGGCAGAGACTCAGGGGTGGGGTCTGGTCCAGTGTAGTCGGGGTCCTGATGGAAGGGAAGTCTGGACAGCGGAGGAAGCCTTGGGAGAGACTGGGGACAGGCTTTCACTTAGTCCGGATGTAAGCCTGGGAATGTGGCTTAGTGGTAGAGTGTTTGTGAAACCCTGGGTTCAATTCCTCAGTACCCCAAACACAGAGAAAGCTGGAAGTGGCTCTGTGGCTCAAGCGGTAGAGTGCTAGCCTTGAGCAAAAGAAGCTCAGGGACAGCGCCCAGGACCTGAGTTCAAGCTCCAGGACTCCTTGACTGCCTTCTGCACACATGGAAGGATTACAGAGCTCTGGGGACAGGGACAGGGAAGCCCAGGGAACTTGGAGGAACACCATATATCTTCAAGATAGGATCCTTAGGGCTGGAGGATGTGGCTCACTAAAGAACTTGCCAACAGGTGCAAGGCCCTGGTCGGACCCCAGAACTAAAAACCAAAACCCTGGCCACAGAAGGAAGGCCCACCTTCCTGGCCGCTGTCCCATTCTGTGTGACTAATGCAGACGGGAGGCTGACCGGCACAGGTGCTGTGGAGTCTTGTCGGGTAGTGGTCGGTTCTTGGCAGTGACCCATCTGCCTGCACTACAGCACACACAGGCATTCAACTACCCGTGTCCACGAGAACCAGGCTTAAAAACCCACCACGCAAGCGCACACTCCTGGTGGATTCTGTCGGCACAGCGCGTCCTGAGATGCTAAGCTTCTGCCCTTTGGCTGGGACCCACTTCTGCCCCTTGTGTGGCCAGTTCTGAACCAAGAACTGCTCCTTCCCTCTGGGGCTGCAGCATGCACGGACACTCCTCACCTTGATTTAGTAGTCCACTGGCTCGTAAGAGCTACAGAGGCTTTGTGCACTTACTCTTAATGAGACAGTGTGGCCAGGCACCCATGGCTCATGCCTGTAATCCTAGCTAATCAGGAGGCTGAAATCTTAGAATCACAGATAGAAACCAGCCTGGGCAGAAAAAGCCCATGAGAATCTTATCTCCAATTAACCACCAAAAAGCTAGACGTTGCGCTGTGGCTCAAGTGGTACAGCACTAGCCTAGGGCACAAAAGCTCAAGGATAGTAGCCCCAGGACTGGTACAAAGCAAAAGAACAAAACTGAACAGTTTGGCAAAAATCATGTTAATAGCCATTTATGGCACTGAAATTCCACTTCAGTTCATTTCATAGGCCTACCACTGGATTAACCTCCCACCTGCTCATAGGGTTATTCTCCCTGCTCCCTCCTTCTGGTCTGGGCTTCCTATTCCTTCCCATTTCCTCCTTTCTATGAGCAAAGCATTCAGCATCTTTTCTTTTTTTCCCTTGAACTCAGGGCCTGGGCACTGTCCCTGAACTTCTATTGCTCAAGGCTAGTGCTCTACCACTTGAGCCACAGCACCACAGCAGGCCTTTTCTGCTTATGTGGTACTGAGGAATCGAACCCAGGGTTTCATGCATGTTAGGCAAGCGCTCTACCACTCAGCCACCTTCCCTGCATTCAGCATCTTTTATCTACTGTGGTTTGAACTCCCAAACTCAGGTTGGGATTTGGTTGCCTCCCTAACAGGAGGAGAAGTAGAACTTTCAGAAGTGATTGGGCCAGGAAGGCCCACTCCATGTAGGGATAAAGGCTGTTAGCAGGGTTAGCCATGTGCAGCTGGTCCACAATTTTCCCTTGACCTTGGGTTTTGTCCTTGCCTTTCTGCATTACACACCCAAGGCTCTAGCACCTGCCAGTCTCTGCCTGCCATTGCAAGAACTTCTATCAACTCCATAGTCTCAGGTACATAACAGCCACACAAGGACCGAGCGCTTCTCTTTCAGTAGCACTTACCTTCTACCTTTTACAAATAACCAACCACAGAACAACTCAACTCTAGCTACCTCCATAACGTTCTGTAGGTGCCCCATACTCTAGAACTTGACTGTTTTGTGTATATGCCAGTCCTGGGGCTTGAAGTCAGGGTTTAGGCACTGTCTCTGGGATTTTGTGCACAAGGCCAGTACTCTACTACTTGAGCCACAGCTTTACTTCTGACTTTTTTGGGGGGGAGGGTGGTTCACTACTGGAGATAAGCTCTTCCCTGCCAGAGCTAGCTTCCAGCCATGATACGCAGAATAGCTAGGATCGCTAGGAAACTAGGGGAGAAAGGAACAGGCCAGACTATATCAACAGGCAAGCGCTGTGTATTAAAGCGCAGTAGCGAGAGCCAGCAACCTTTCTGTAGGATGGAGACTGTGCAGGGAGGTGGGGTTGGAGTCGGGCTTTTATGGAGTCTGAGCAAGGAGACAGAGGTTATGGAAAAGGCTGTTAGGGCTGGGGTGGTGGTGGTGGGGGACTTTTGTTAGGCTCATAATGGTAGGTTTATGGCCAGGCTTAGGTTGGATTGCCTGGCCTCGGCACACACCTGGGGTTCTTCCTGACCTCGGTATGCACCTGGGATCATAGGGCAGGGTCAACCCTTCAGTTGTCAGGAGACAAATGGAAAAACAAACACCTAATCCTCTAAATTAGGTTGAGGCCACACATGAAGGAAACACACACTGAAAACTTCCTTTCATCTGATGAATAAAAACAAAACCGCAAAGTATCAGGGAGTAGATGAGAGAAAAACTAAAACAAAATGAAAATTACTCTTCAAAATTACAGAAACACTGGGGAGGGGAGGAGGGAGGGGAGGAGGCCGTGGCTCTTTTGAGATACTGTCCTATCACAGACTAGTGCGGTGAAAGGGTCTTTCCAAGGCTTTGCACCCATGTTTCATTCCTCTGTACTTGGGATGAGGGGGACTCCACGCAGACCACAGCCTAGGACGAAGATTCCTGGGCTTTCTTTTCACTCTAGTCTCTGGAGACGAGTCCAGAGGCCTTCCTGCTTGTTTTTTTCTCCCAATGGCATCACCATTTACCAAGCTGATGAAATAAAAATAAATGCTCTGATTTGGTTTTTTCTTCCTTCAATAAGCCATAAAAATCTCTCTCCCTTGGTTCAGCTTTCTGGCAGGCATTATGATGCACTTCATAGTCCACTGTCGCTGCCCAATTCAGGCCAAGGGTTCCTTGTGGAAACTTACACTGCAAAATGTTTGACTTTCTATTTTCCATTTTCTTGTTCTCTTTATAAATTCCTTTGTATTCTAAAATGCAAGTATGGTCGTGTTACATAGTCCCTTGCTATATCACTGTTCACTTATTGCATCTTTACTGTGAAAGCACCCATCCTACAAAACCACATGGACAGAGCATCATATACAGAGAAGGGGGCTTATTGTCAGCAGGGGTCTGACAGGCTAGCTCTAGCTCTCTCTTAGGACAGAGTAGCAGCAGCCTGTCCCTGGGTAAGGCAGTACTTATTGTCTAGGGGACTGGCTCGGGTGAGATGTGACAGCCGAGTACTCCATTATGGTGGGCTAAGATTTATGGCAGCTGCCCAAAGAGTAGGTAAGGAGGCCTGCTGCTACCATTGATGGCTGTAACTGACCAAATGGAGGAAGCTGGTTACCTGCCTGCACCAAAAGGGCCCTTTGTCCGCCAATCTGGGGAGAAGAGCATGTCAGACTAACACACTGTCCTATTTTTTAAATCCATTTCTGTACTGCAGTTTTTGCTGTATCACAGGATGTTTTTTCTCGGTCATGGGATCTGAACTCAAGGCTAGAGCTCTACCACTTGAGCCACAGCACCACTTCCTGCTTTTTCTGCTTATGTGGTGCTGAGGAATTGAACCCAGGGCCTCATGCATGCAAGGCAAGCACTCTACCACTGAGCCACCTTCCCAGCCCCTGCATCACAGGACTTTATGGTATATGTTATTCATATACTTTAATTATTTCTACCTAAAATTTTTAAAATACAAAAATATAAACAATCAATAATTCAAACATATTAAAATATTAAATCAAAGTAACTATACTGTACACAATTGAAAGCTGATGCTACTAGTGCTTGCACACGTTTGCCAGCATGTGACTGTGCATGGCACACTGCTCTCTGGTGGAATGGCAGGAGCCTGAGCACAGCACCGTGTTCCACGTCCTGGGTGCTGACTGGCTCAGGGACTGCAGCCACCATGTCTGCTGCGCCATGCTGTCCATGCGCTCAGCATCTGTCTACTTCACACTGACGTCTGATGGCTGCTCTGCGGTTTGATTTTGTTGTTTGGTTTTGGTTTGGGGGCTTGAACTCTAGGCTTGGATGCTGTCCCTCAGCTCTTCAGCTCAAGGCTAGCGCTCTACCACTTGAATCACAGCACCACTTCCGTTTTCTGGTGGTTTGTTGGCACTAAGAGTCTCATGGGCTTTCCTGCCCAGGCTGGCTTTGAACCATAATCCTCAGATCTCAGCCTCCTGAGTAGTTTGGATTACAGGCATGAGCCACTGATGCCTGGCTTCTGAACAAGTTTGTAACATGGATGAGATGAAGTCAGAAAATGAAGAGGATGAAGATGAACTACGGCCTGGAGAGGAGGAGGAGGTTGGCGTAAAACTCGGTCGCCTTGCAGCCATGGTCAGAATGGCCAAAGCACTTGAGGAGTGGCTGAGGAATGACACCCCCAGATGCTGTGTTTGTTGCACTTTGTAAATACAATCAAGAGCGGCACGTCAGTTTATAAAAACCTCTTCACTCAGAAGAAAATCAGCGCCAGCAACTCCCCATAGCTGTGTCCAACACTTGAAGAGATCAGTTACAACTACACTGCGGTGGAAATAGAAGTCACGGCCCAGGGTGAAGACACCGCACCGCCTGTGAGGCGCTGGTGAGTGGAGCCTTCGGAAGAGCGCAGGGCTCCGCTTGGTGTGCAGTGCATTCACCTCCTCGTCATCACGCTCAGCGCCATCGGCACTGCACAGCTGCTAAGTCACGATCTTCACCACTCGGGTTGTAGTGTACTTCACTGGCGAGTACTGATAGAATTTTATGCTACTAAATTACAAAGACATAAAAATATAGAAAGTGTTTAAGAGCATATGAATAGCTGGGAAGGTGACCTAGTGGTAGAGTGCTTGCCTGGTATGCACGATGCCCTGGATTCGATCCCGCAGTACCACATAAACAGAAAAAGCCAGAAGTGGTGCTGTGGCTCAAGTGATAGAGTTCTAGCCTTGAGCAAAAGCAGCTCAGGGACAGCGCCCAGTCCCTCAGTTCAGTATATAGGACTGGCAAAAAATAAATAAAAGCATATGAAGTCTTTGTAAGAGCATGGGAAAGGTTTTTAGGAGAGCAGAGTCTATAGAGCCTTAATATATATATATATATATATATATATATATATATATATTGCTGTTACTTTGCGGATTTTCACCCATCGCATGGAGTCTCTGGAACGTTAATTCCTGTGATAGGTGAGGGCTCACTGTGCTACCAAGCCTGGCTCATGCTCAATATGTAACAGCTCACAATCACTGGGACTGAGTACGTGGTTTGTGGCTAATTATAGGCAAGGAACTAAATGTTTAAAACGTAAGTAGCCAGCCCTGCACTGGTTGCTCATCCCTGTAATCCCAGCTACTTATGAGGCTAAGATCTTAGGAGACTCTGAGATTTAAGGATCTAAAAAAAGCCCTAAAATTATCTCGGATTACAGCAAAATTCTGAATTGGAGGTGTGGCTCAAGTGGGAAAGCACCAGCCATACATAAAAACAGACGGCCTGGTGATCAAGCCCCAGTAGCAGCACAAACAATTTCAGGTGCTGACTACCAGGCTTATGTAACTGGCATTTGCTTAGATTCAAAGCAACTTATGCCTCTGCTCACCATTTCTGCTTTGTTTTTGAGCACAGGATCTCGGGTATGCAGCTCAGCTTGGCCTCAGTCTTGTGATTCTCTGCCTGTCTGGACCATGAGGTCCAACTTTACTATTCTGAAAGCCGTTGTCCTTCCTGAAAGTTGGTGTTCTAGAGCTAGGGTGGAATGAATTTTCTACTGACACTAACGTGGGCTCTGAACTCCAGCTGTCTGTCCCTCATTTTTCCATGGCTGCTGTGGGAAGCTCAGTGGCCGCTGCAGCAGGGTCCGTCTTTCTTCCTGGCTGCTGCTTAAGCACCCAGGGCTGTAGGATGTTTATTAAGCCTCCCTTGGAACTTGTTAGGAGCTGGATGCTGCTTCAACCCTCTCAGAGACCAAGGGAATTGGAGTTTACTGGGGTCATACCTGGGAAAAATCCAGGATGGGGTGGACACCTGGTTATTGTACTGAGCTGCCAACGCCCAAGCAGCCAGCTGGAGCTCTGCTGAGCTCAGCCCAGAAAGGAGTCTGGCTCAGACAGTGCCTCGGGCCCCAGGACACACCAAACTCTGCCAGGGGTAGCAGCCTGCCCAGACAGCTCAGAGGTGGAGCCAGAAAGCGAGGGGCAGAGGATGCCAGTGCTCTATACTTTTTTTTTCTTCTGTCGGTCGTGGGGCTTGAACTCTGTGCCTGGGCGCCGTCCCTCAGCTCTTCAGCTCAAGGCTAGCGGTCTACCACTTGAGCCACAGCGCCTGTTTTCTGGTGGTTTATTGGAGATAGGAGTCTCAGGTTTCTTGCCCAGGTTGGCTCTGAACTGCGAATCCTCAGATCTCAGCCTCCTGAGTAGCTAGGATTACAGGCACGAGCCACCGACGCCCGGCTTGGTCTATACTTCTTGTTGCTGGACCCAGGTCATGTCTCAAAGGAGATGTGGGAAGTGCTCCTCCGCAGCTGCCGCTGCCACAGGCTTGGCTTGGCTTTCCTTCGGCCTGGCATCTCACCTGCCTTTACCCCAGAGCTCAGTCCAGCACGGCGAAGACAGGTCCCATAAAGCACCCACACCGCCACCCTGAACTTGAGCACTTTGAACCTGGTCCCGCCAGAAAGCCACCAGTCCACACTTGCACCCCAAGGCACAAAGGAAAGCTCCCCCATTTATTAAGGAGTTTTTCCCTAGACAAAAGCTCATTTCATAACAGCTGCCCCGTATGATTTGTTTCCCTCCAAGACACCTGAGACAACACCAGCCTGCACAGCCATGCTTCACCAAGCTGACCCAGGAGGGTCGCCATCTCTGCCTGTCATGGCACAGCAGAGGCCCACCTGCACTAGCCCCTATCCTGGCCTTGATTCTAGGAGGCCAAAGGGAAGCACTTCAGTGCTCTGCCAGTGACTGGCCCACAGATGGCGCTGTGACCCCACTTCCCTTTCATTCCTTGGGTTTTGAGCAGGATTGGCTGAGGAACAGGAGAGAGGCAGAGCTAGGTAGCCTGGCTGGCCCTGGCTTCCTCCAAATAGCGTGAGCCCACCAGCCCCCTGCAGGTTCTGGCCCTCCCAAGGGAGTTTTTGAGGCTCCTTTTATCCTCCTGTTCATGGCCATGGGGAAGAGGAGGAAGCAGAGGCCTCCCCTCCACCCCTGCTTCCCCTTCAAGAGGGCAGATGCAGAATGGGCTGGCCCCTCCAGGGTCTGGCGAAGGCACCAACCTTCTCTCTGGGGCCTCATGGGAGCCTCACTGAAGGCAAGGCCCAGGTTACCTCACCTGGGGACCCATGATCAGGAGAGCAGATGGGAAAGGCACCAGGTAAGGAGCGGGCCGCTCAGGCCAGGCCAGCCCGGTCCAGGTCCTGGGGCAGCACCCGGCCTTCTTGCGGGCCTTCTGCAGACACCGTTCGGCACGGGCTGCCTTCTTCTTCCACCTGATGGTCTCACAGAGGCCCAGGACAGTCCCATGCCCCAGTTCTGGCTCTGTCTTGTACTGGCAGTGGCTGTGTCCGAGGCTGAAGGGAAGGCTGGGCTGCTACACATCATGGGCATCCCCAATATGCCTGGTCAACATGGGGCATCACAAGCCCAGACCTGAAGGGACAGCCTCGTCAGCTGGGTGCCCCAGCCAGGAAGGCAGTTCCAGGGCCTTCCTAAGTCTTGGTGAATGAGCAGGTGCTGGACTTCCCGGGCCCTTTAGTTGCCACTCTAGTGCACGGGGTGGTATAGGCCAGAGGGGCAGGCTGGCACCTCTTCCTGCTCTTGGAAGAATTGTCCCTCAAAGCTCCTGTGGAGGGGCAGCGGGAGCTGGACTGCCCTTCTGGACAAGGACAGCGCCCTTGGTGCTGCTGTCTGAGGCTCCTTCAGTGGGGTCTGCACTGCAGCTTCCACTGCTGCTGCTGGCAGGGCCCCGCTTGAGCTGCTCTGGTGATGTGGGCTGGGAGCAAATAAGGTCAGGGTTGTGGGGGTGTGGCATTCCCTCCTGGACAGTACCTCGAGCCAGTCGGAGGCATCCCGGAGTCAGCCCAGCATGATTTGGGAAGGGCTGCCACATACCCCAGGCCTATAGCATATTTGGCAACCAGTGGGATGCTGGGGCCTCGGGGAGGAGCAGTCCTCAGTCCTGGAGCTACCTGCTTCCGAGGACCACCCTGTGTTTCCCCACAGCATCCCATCCCCACAGGCTGCTAGGGCTCCACGGGCCCGACCTGCATAAGGGCCTCACAGAATCCTCCTTTGCCTTCCTCCCCCAGAGAAGAGCAAGCCACGCTTCACACACCCCTGCAGCAGGGCGCTGATTCCCGCGTGAGCGCCCATCCACCTCTGCCCTCTGCCTTCCCTTCTTCCTCCCATACTTTTCGCAGCAGCTCTCTGCTCTTGGAGTCCTTTTTACTGCAGAAATCCTGCCTGGCAGCTTGGGAAATGAAAGCAAGCTGGCTCTGCAGGAGGGGCAGAGAGAAGGTGACAGTTGGGAGGGGGAGGGGCGGCAGTTGGGCTCCGTTTTGTGTGGGAGGCCAGCCTCCCATCAGCCCACACAAGCGGTTCCAACGGGTTTTACTGAGCTCCAGGGACCCACAGGCTGGGAGCAGATTTGTCGTCCTGGCACAATGCTGTGCCACCCAACCCACCAGGCAGCTCCGCTCTGCTCAACTGGAAAGAGATGTGCGGCCACCAGACACGCTGCACAGCTCCTGTGCCCGCGTGTGTGCATGTGCCCATGTGTCTGTGCGACAGCACCCATTCTGTGTCTGGAAATCAGGCGAAAAGAACCTGCCATACGCCGGCCGAGGACTGCCCTAGCTGAGCCAAGGTAGCACCCGCCCAGCCGGCTTCCCCAGCCCACCTTGTAGGCCAGAGTTTGAAGTGGGCGATGGCTGCCCTGTTTGGTCCCAAAGCATCTCCCGAGGAGTTGGGGGCCCACCTCCGGATCTCCTGCCAAGTCCTGTCCAGGCAGAGGATGGCTGCCATCTGCAGGGCAGAGACCATGGCGTGCAGTGAGAAGTTCCGCAGGGCTCTGCATCCTGGGGAGGGAGATTGCCTGAGCCTTGCCTGGCACTGGGCCACCTCCTGCCCTGGCCCTTGGGCAGAGGCCTGGCTGATAGAGGCCTGCCGGAGTGGAAGAACTTGAGCAGGGACTCCTGCCACCCCAGCAAGATTTGGCCTCCGCCACTGGCTGAGTGGCAGAACCCAGAGAGCAGACAGCCAGGGAGGGCTTGAGAGAGGCTGGGGCTGGAAAGCCCGGGCCTGGCCAGGAGGATCTGAGCTCCACACAGGCCGGTGACCACACTGCCCACACCCACACAGGAGAAAGGTGCAGAGAGAGGGAGAGGCCCTGGGCAGCACAGCCTGCAGCATACCATGGCCTCCTGGATCCGAGGTGCCACCACCCGCGCCCTATCTGGCGCCTTCATACTGAGGAATTCAACGCAGGGGGTGATTGTGCAGGAACACACGTTGTTAACGTGGGCCACGATGGCCCGGATGGTGGGGGCCAAGTGCTCTTCAACCTGCTGTGCCTCTGGGACCAGATGGAGCCCAGGCAGAGGCTGGGCACTGCCTTCTGCAACAACTCCTGGGGAAGAGCGCCGAGGTCACCAGGTCCGTCACACACACTCCACAGTCCCAGGCCCAGACCCGCATCCGAGCCCACAGTGGGGCATGGAGCTCAGAGCATGGAGGAAGACACTGCAGCCACTGGGAAGCTCTGGGTCCGCGGTGCTGACCCTCCATTCCACCCAGCCCCCAACGGACCATCAGGATTCCAAGGTGGGCAAGGAGAGCACTGTTTTCCCTAAGTCTTCTGAGTCCTCCCAGAGACCTGCACATCCCAGGCCATCCCTTTGGGCCCTGGCCCATCCACCTCACTTCTGTCTCCTGGCCCACTTGCACAGGACCTAGCCCTAGGATGAGGCCCATCCCAAGACTGGCCTGGACAGCCATGGTGCACAGCAGGTGCCTGCCTAAACAGCGATGCGGCTCCACAGGTCCACTGGCCCACAGGGAGGGCTGCGCCCTGCTGCCCCTGTGTCTGGCCCAGTGCTTGATTCCACACAGCTCCTGGGAGGGGCGGGGGCTCAGCTCCTCTTCAGGGTTGCACTTCGGCAAGTGCCCCTACACAACGAGGTGCTAGGCATGCTGGAGCTCAGATGGGGCCACAAACCATGGCCCCAGGGGAAGGAAGCAGGGGCCCAGAAAGCAGAAGTTACCGGAAACCCGCCCCCACCATACCCAGCTCTGCCCAGCCCAGCGCTGCCTCCCAGCGGGGAAGGACAGAGAGAACCAGAGGCATCTCCACTCAGCCCGCACTCTCTGGGCAACACGGGAGGATGGCAAGCTTCTTGGGCTGGAAAGGATGCCCGATCCGGCTCAGATTCCCAAGAAGCAGAGGGAGCCAAGTTGGAGGAGTGCTCCAGTGAGGACTGCGGGCTCAATGGCAGCACCAGTGCCTGGTGCTCGCTCCGGGTGGAGCAGCGGAGCTGAGCCGCAAGGGGCCTCCATCTCAGCATTGGGAGCCGGTGGGGTCTGGACGCCCACCACTGGCATCTAGGTGGGACGAGATGCTCTCACACCCGGAGGCGGCTGGGTCCTCAGGCCTGAGCTCCAACGGCTCGGTGGAACCTGGCTCCATCGCAGCACTCCCTGCTGGTCTTTGGGATGCTGGTGCTGCTATTAGGTAGAGCACCAGAGCTGCAGCTCCTCCAACACACAGTGCCAGAGCTGGGGTGGGCACCAGGGAAATCATGACGGCCAAGGGCAGAAGGACCCAAAGCTCTACCCTGGAGCCTGGTTCTCCAGGACTGACCTCTGGAGCCGCGGTGACAGGTGGCTCTGCAGCAGCCCTGGAGGCTGGTGCTCCGTGACCGCTGTGCACCACAGCCAAGTTGTCGGATGGCTGGGACTGTGCACAAGCACCTAGTGCTCTCACCACACAGAGTACTGTGGTAAATATCCCTAGAACAGAGAGCACCCCAGCTGGTCTTCTCAACAGAAACTGGACCAGAGTCAGGGTGCAAATAACCCCAGTTCAGCTCTGAAGCGGGCTTCTCCGGGAGTGGGAATGGGAGCCGAGGTGGCACAAGGCTCGCTGTCAGTGCTCCTCACTGGAGCTCCGTCTACACTGGGCACGGGAGACATGGTGGAAGCTGCCTCTCATGTGGCACAAGAGCCTAGTGCTCTCATGAGGCATCTCCAGAGTGTCAGGAGTCCCACCAGCAAAATGAGCTCATCTGGCACTCCTTTCAGAAAAAGCTGCACAGCCAAGAGAAGCAGCGGCTCCAGCTCTGCACTGAAGCTGACTTGGGTGGGACGGAGAAGACCAGCACAAGTAGAGGCTGGCTCTGCCTCAGCACTCCCTGCTGGTCTTTGGGGTGCTCTTGCTTCTAGGTGGTACAGCCCCAGTACTAATGCTGCTCCAACACAAAGGGGAACAATTGGTGTTATGGCCACAAAGATCTTTCTTACCAAGGGCAGATAAACCTCTAGCTCCGCCCTGGAGTCTGGATGTCTAGCACTGACCCCTGGAGCCGAGGTGACAGGTGGCTCTGCGGCAGCCCTGGAGGCTGGTGCTCCATGACCGCTGTGCACCACAGCCAAGTTGGAGGATGGCTGGGACTGTGCACAAGCACCTAGTGCTCTCCCCACACAGCGCCACAGAGTGGATACTGCGATGAGAAAGAGCAGCAGAGGTGGTGCCCCTGTGAAGTAGAGCAGCAGTGTCAAGGTGACAAGCACATCCAGCTCCCCAATGGAGGCTACTCCCTGGGGATTAAAAACTGGGGCTGTGGTGAAGCTGGGCTCCCTGTCTGCAAGCGAAGCGCTGTGCCCCTCAGCCAAGGGGCACAATGGACAGGAGCCTGAGAAAGGGCCTAGTGCTCTTACTGCACAAAAACCCACCATTAGTACCCCTAGATAAAATAAAGCCCCCTAAATGCTCCTCCTGCAAGAAACAGGATTTGGACCAGGGTGACAAACATTTCTGGCTCAGCTCTGAAGCTGGCTTCTCGGGGAGTGAGACCGGCAGCCGATGTGGCACACGGCTCGCTGTCAGTGCTCCTCGGTGGAGCTCCGTCATCACTGCCCTCCAGAGGATTAGATGTTAGTTCTCTGACCACACACAGCAGCACAATTACAATTGTCACCAGCGAGAGCAGTACAGCTGGCGCTCCAATTAGGTAAAGCAGCTCAGCCAAGTACAGAAGCATCTGCGGGTCTGCACTGAAGGTAGCTTGGTCGGGACCTGGAGCGGAGATGGACACTGGCTCCTCCCCAGCAACAGCTTCTGCTGCTCGCTGGGGCCCCAGCACAGGAGCCAAGCTGTCCCGTGGCTCCATCTCCTCAGCAGACACTGCTGTTTCCTCCACATTGGGCATGGTGTAATGGGGCTCCAGCTGAGCTCCGGCCGCTGCTGCTCCCTGGGCGCTGAGCGCTGAAATCAAGCTGGCAGGTGACTCTGCTCCTCCCCTGGCTGCTCTGGCCCCTTCAGGACTGGGCTCCAGAGCTGACATAGAAGCTGGCTCTTCCTCCACACAGGGAGCTTTGGCTCCCCCAGGACTGCAGGCCACATTCGAGGCCGCAGGGGCCTCCGCCTGGGAACCCCATGCTGTTCCTCCCCTGAGCTGGCGGCCACAGTCTCTGATGGAGCTGAACTTCCCTCCTGAGCCCAAGGTGGGCCTCAGGCTCCTCTGGCTGCTGGGCCTTGGAACGTGGGAGCCTCCTCCCAGGGCTGCCCTGCCCCTTCCACCCCTGCACGGGCTGTGTCTCAGGCCCAGGCTCCGCCCCCGTAGCTTCGCCCTGGCTGTGTGTCTTGATCCCCAGCTGCGCAAGGACATGGGAGACATGGCGCTCTATGTCAGAGTCCAGCATATGCAGCCTCAGGTGAGTCAGGAGGCGCTGGAGGCAGGGAAGCTGTGCGGGGACCAGGAAGTCCTCCGGATGCAAGTCCAGCCAGGAGCCCAGGAGGCACGTGATGGCACTAGGGACAGATGGGTGGGGAGCAGACTCGGACTCCAGGCCAGCATGGCCCCTGGTCTCCCTCTCGCCCCTGTGATGGTGGCGGTCCTTGCAGAGACCAGCACACCCAACAGCAGCACCTGGGGCTGTGGCACCAGTGGCAGGCTGGCCCAGGAAAGGCCTGCAGAGAAACTCAAGGGAGAGATCCACGACCAAATGCTGGGCCAGCAGCTCTGTCCTCCTCTGCACCTTCCAGCCCCTTCCTCCTTGCTCCCCTGGGCCTCTACATGCTGGTCAGCAACATGGCTTGTTGTCCAGCCTGGCACACATAGGGTTCTGCTGCACCTCTGTGTGGAGTCTGCTGCCTCGTTCCCCATGGGCCCCACTGCGTGGTCTGGCTACATCCACACTGCTCTCCTTCTGTGTGTGGGTGCCACAGCAGGGCCCTGCGCTTTGACACACACGCCTCACACCTGCTGAGGGCTGTGACCTAGGACATATGACCCTGGCCCTACTCTGGGGCTCGTGGTGTGCTGGCAGAAGCCCGCAGGGCAAAGGCTGTGCAGATGATGGATGGTCCGGTGGAGGGGGGGAGTGGATAGACAGGGGGCTCAGACCTGAGTCCCAGCCTCTACCCCTGCTCAAAACAACCCAAGGAGATCAAAGCCCACTCACTGACAGAGCTGGTTCCGAGGGATGACATCCTCCCAGGAGTTAGCGAGGGTGTCCGTCTGTCCAGAGGGTCCCGTGGGCGCTTCACAATTGCTGAACCTGGTGAGGATTTGAGCGTCACTGGCCAGCCCGGGGCAGCTGGCAGCTTCCCGCTCTTCTCTCACCACTCTGCTCAGGGCCTGGAAATCGAACCTTCCCCTGGAGCTCCTTCCTATGTGTCACGATGCGCACAAGCCGCTGCTGCCTGATGATCATGGGAGCCCAGACGCCCTCCCTCTGCCCCGCCAGCCCTGCTCTGTCCACACCTAGGTTGAGTCCCTACTCGCAGAGAGAATCGCTTCCCTCTGGCCAAGCAGACACACTGCTTTGTCTGCGGCCTCAGAGAAGCAAAGTCACAGAGCAGGGCTCACAGCGCTGGACGGGACCCTGCATGGTGCCAGACTGCGACTTCCCTGTGTGATTCTCCACGCACTGGCAACTGCCAACCAGCAAGTTTCTGTGAGCACCCCACTTGCCAGCTCCATTTGCAAGGCTGCCACTGCAGGTGAGGGCTCCCATGCGGTTGGAGTTGGCGCTCACCTTGTGAACTGCAGGTCCAGGACCTGAGGGGTGTCTGCCACCTCCCTGTAGGTATTGAGGAAGGAACGGATAAACATGGAGTCCTCAAGTATCTCTCTTTCTCTGTCTCTGTTTCTCTGTCTCTCACATACACATATACACACACAAACATACACACACACACACACACACACTTTCCAAAAAAAAACCTCACAGCAGAACAGACACCTGCTCATGAATCAACTCCTAGAAGGTGTCACAAGATGACCTTCTGACTAAGTGACCTTGGCAGTGCTGTCTCAGGTACAACTCCCAAACTTTAACTGATAAATTTCATTAAACACTATCTGGGTACTTATTAGCTCACACTTGTAATCTCAGCTTCTCAGGAGGTTGAGGTCTGAGGATCACAGTGTATGCCAGGAAAGTCCATGAGACTCTTATCTCTATTCATCCAGCAAAACAACAATAGTGGGGGTGTGGTTCAGGTGGCAGAGTGCTAGCCTTGAGTGAAAAAGCAAATTGAGACCTGGAGGACCTGAGTTCAAGCTCCATTACTGGCACAAAAATTAATTCAATAATTCTAACCAGGTATCGGTGAACCACAGGCTGAGATTTGAGGACCACAGTATGGAGCCAAGTCAGCAAGAAAGTTCCATGAGACTCTTATCTCCAATTAACCACAGAAAGCTGAAAGTAGAGCTGTGCCAAAATTGGTACAACAGTAGTCTGCAACACAAAAGCTCAAGAACCGTGTCCAGGCCCAGGGTTTAAGCCCCAGGATCCATAAAATAAAACAAAATGGTACAAAACAAAAAATGCCATTTTGTTTGATGAAAGATTTTATTAAGAATTAAAGTCAAGCCCAATGTAGAAATGTTAAACAAAGAATGATAAAAACATGTATAAATTATACAAAGAACTCTCCAAATCCAATGGTAAAAAGCAAACCAATTAAAACTTGGGCAGAAGGTGGGTTGGAGGCATGGCTCCAGTGGTAGAGATCTTTCCTAGCAAGCATGAGGTGTTGGGTTTAATCTCTAGAACCCCCCACAATGTCACAAATGGCAAGTAATTATGAAAAATCATTATACATCAAATGTCACAAGAGAACCCCAAGTTAAAACAAGATATTGCCAGGCACCAGTTGTTCACGCCTGCAATCCTTGCTACTCAGAAGGCTGAGATCTGAGGACTACAGTTCAAATCTTGCCTAGGAAGGAAAGTCCATGAGACTCTTTATCTCCAATTAACCACCAAAAAGCTGTAAGTAGAGCAGTGATTCAAAAATTACAGTGCTAGCCTTGGGCACAAAAGCTCAGGGACAGCATCAAGGCTCTGAGTTCAGGCCCAGGGACGGGGGCAGCCGGCTACAGGCTCCTCAGGGCTGGGCAGAGGCCATGGCCTCTCCAGGCCATCATTGACCCAAAGCCTTACTGCGAAGCCTTCCCGCACAGCATGGCAGGAAGGACGTCCTCCAGTGTCTCCTCTGTTACCAGAACTCAGAGAGGAGCAGGAAAACAGCCTGAGGCTGAAGATGGCCCAGCCCCAGGCTCTTCAGCCCCTGACTTAATCCATCCTCTGTGGAGGGGCTGCGACCACCTGCCTCGAGAGCCGAGGACTCACAGTGGGGGCCCATGGCAAGGTCATCCATCCTAGAGGCCCCGACTTGCACCCGAGTAGAGGCCTGTCTCTGTAGCAGTTGGTGCCTGGCCTGCCTGCTGGCCTTGGGAGGACAGGGGAGACGGAGGTGGGGAGATGGGGGAGGGGAGCTTCAGCAACTTCCAGTGTCAAAGGAAGGTTGGGCACTAAGCCTTTTCTCTAAAAGCCTTCCAGTGCAGCTCGGGCTGCATGCCCTTGGCGTCGCTGACCACCGCCCTCCAGTCCCGCTAGCGGTTCCAGATTTCTTGGTGATTCTTGTGTACAGCGACAAACCGCAGCTTCTTCAGGACGGAGGGCCAGGGCAGCATGTGCAGGTCCCACAGGTACTCCGGGGACAGCACCTTGGTGGGCTTGCGGAGCAGCAGGTACTTGTTCAGGTGGCTCTCGTCATGCCACACAGCCTCGATGTTGTTGGCCCGGTCGACCGCCATGGCCTCATGACAGGCCTTGGTGAGCCGGTGCACCTCCGCCACTGACCCCCCAAAGAAGGCCCCCATGTAGTAGAAGTCCCCCTGGTCGTGGGGGATGTAGGCCTGGGACTGGGGCCGGCGTTCGTAGGTGAAGGCATCGCGCTTGCTCGTGTAGAAGCCGGGGTGCAGGGTGCCGAAGAGCGGGGTCAGGATCTCCACGCCTACGTGGTCCTGGAACTTCATGTCCACATCGGCACACACCAGATAATCCATCTGCTGCCGGGAGGGCTGCTCCAAGAACTGGCTGATCATCTGCATGCGGCGCATGGACACGTCCTGCCAGCGCGGGTAGCTGCGCACGGGCAGCACCGCCAGCCGCCGCCCCGGCCCGAGCCCCACCTGGGGCACGTCTGCGGGCCGGTCGGTGAACACGTAGTAGGTGACGCGGTAGCCCACCATGAAGTGCTGCTCCGCAGACTCCAGGAACAGCCTCAGGAAGGTGATGTACCTGCAAGGGAGGAAGAGGGGTGGGGGAGGTGTGGCCTGGCCCTGAGTCGGAACCCACCCGGGTCCAGTGGAACCCCACCCTCTCCTGCCAATCACCCTGCTCTGTCAGAGATGGCGACCACCAGCACCCCACAGTCCACAGCACACCTGAGCCGGAGGGTTCCTGTGGTCCCACCGTTCTGCGGCCCATGCGAGACTGAGCGACGCACCCGGATCCTAAATGTGTCTTTGCCACGCTCCTGGACACCTGGGGCTCCAGGACCGTTGGCTGGGGACGTTGGGGCTCCAGGACACCTGGCCGGGGAACCTGGGGCTCCAGGACACCTGGCCCAGGTCCCTAGGTCTGCATACTGGCTCCCCTCCTGTGGACCTGTCCCTCAGCCTCATCTTGGGGAAGGAAGAGTCTCTATACCCAGCCCTTCCTTCACAGCATGAAGTAGCCTTCAGACAATGGCCTCAGTAAACCTTTGGTAGAACTAAGAGGGGCCTTGGATCCTCAGGAAGCGCAGGGAGCGGGACTCCGAAGGGCAGGCAGGCCAGGCAGATGGGCACTTGAGGAAGAAGGGGCAGACCCACCAGCGTTTGCTCACACCCGGGCCTTAGATCCAAGAGCAAGAGCTGTAGCTCAGGAAGGTTCCGCCTGCCTCATGGCCGGTCCCCCCTCGAGGCTGCCCAGAGCCTCGGCCCCTGCCACGGGACAGGGCTCTCCACTTGCTGCCCATGCTCACCCTTCGTACCCACATGGCACGGACTCCTCAGTGAATCCTTCTCAGGGCACCAAGTGCAGCCACCGAGGCTTCAGCCCCAGCTGACAGCGGTGGGGTGTCCGGCCGCCTTCCCTCGGGCTCAGCACCTGCTGGTGTCTGCTGGGCCCGCACCGGGTCCCAGGGAGACAGCGTGCCCATACGTGGCAGCAGGGCTTTTGTGCTGGGGGCTGGTCTAGTCCCCGGCAGTGGGACCAGAGTGCTCATGCTGCATCTGTGCCCTTCTGAGAGCCTCCCGCCAGCCACCACCGCCTCAAGTCCCAGCTGGTGAGGGGGTGGCAGCCTACGGCTGTCCTAGGGTCCTTCTGCACACTGCTGCTGCTCTGTGGCGGGCACCAGCTTCCATCTCCACCCCAGGGCCCATTCCTGCACCCAGGCCTTTCTCCACAGCCTCCCACAGGGCAGCTGGGCCTGAGGCAGCTTGCTCACTAGCTCCCACCCAGCTGGTCCCACCAGCACCCCTGGGGTGGTCAGATGGGCTGCCACCCACAGAGGCCTGCAGATGGATGGTCTACAGACTGTCGCCTCAGCCCTGCCTGGGATCTGAGTGTACAGCAGCGGCCCCCGGTTGGCCGGCACCATGCTCCTGCTGCTCCCAGAGGAAGCCAGGCTCCTCCCTCCTCTCCCGCTGCCTCCTCTAGCAGAGGGGGTGCAGCCTCCCCTGGCTGAGGGGATACAGGGAGGAGACGGGGCACCAGCTGTCAGGGGAAATGGCACTGCGCTCGACCAGCGGCTGAGCCACCGGGGCCCAGGCAGGTCATGGAGTGAAGGAACTTTCACAGCCACCCTTCCATCTCCCCCACCCCCCACCATGGCCTGAACACAGGACAGATCTGGGTGTCCCCAGGCCTCCGCCCTCCACCCTGCCCCCTCTCTTACTTTTTGACAGCAAACACAGATAATCCCACGGTGATGTTCTGAAGCCGGAACTGCTCATTCAAGATGTCAATGTTGAAAGTCCCCTCCCAGATGATGGGAGCCAGCCATGGCGTCAGGACCAGGACGTCTCTCCTACTGTACAGAGAAAGAAAGCCACACTCGGTGTGCACTGTGTGCCCACCGCCGTACCTGCCCTCTCCCCGGCTGCCTCCCTCCTCCCACAGGCAGACCTGGCCGTCACCAGGAGACCAACCAGAGGCAAATCAGACTCGAGGGGACCAGGCAGCAGCCATCCCCGAATGCCGGCCCTGCTGCTGCAGAAGGAGCCGAGATCTGCTGGCAAGGCTTGGAGTGGTCCTCACCCCACCCAAGCACCCCTTAGGGAACCCGTGACTCTGCCAGGAACTCAAGTCAAAGAAACAGAAAAGATCCTCTGGGGTCCTCAGGTCAACCTCCAATACAAAAACAAAACAAACAGGAAGCAGAACATTGAGCACTAATCCAGGAAAATCTTGAGAGTTTGTTTGTTGCTTTTTCCTGCCCTGTGGAGGCTTCAGGCATGGTAGCCAAGCCACAAGCCAGCCCAAACAAACTGCCTGTGCATATCTTTGCCACAGACCCCCACACGCCTTGCAGTGTCAGTCCATTTACTCACGCGGGCGTCAGAGCCATCGGCTGGGGATACACCATCCTGAAAACCAAAACACAGGTGTGCACAGGAGTCACTCAGGACCCTCATCCCACGGGGCTGTGGGGTGTGGGGAGCCGTCTTTCACCAGCTGCTCAGGCTACATCCCACATCACCCAGAGCCAGAGCTGGTGGAGGGGCTGAGGCATGAGGCTTCCAGTCTCTAATTTGTCTTTGCAATGTGGGAGAGGAATCGAATACCCAAGGAACTCAGGGCTGTTGGTCCCAGGCTGCAGGCTGGGAGGGGCCTAGTGACTCCTGTAACTCTGGGAGGGGGCCGGGGCTGAGCAGCAATCTCTGCCCCAGGGAACCATCAGATGCCCACACCAGCTCTCCTGGGCCTCAGACTGGTCCGGGTCAGTTTCTGTGGCACCCAGAACCCAAGCTCCCTGTCTCAGGGTGTCAGAGACCAGCCTCAAAGGTGGCAGGAAACGCTGTCCATGCCAGGCTTGTGACACTGGGAGCAGCGGACCCCACAGATGAGGAGCCCACAGGGCAGAGCCTGCAGCAGCCATCATTTTCTTCCCGTGATGGCTCTGGGAGTAGGGAGCCGGCATGGAAAGGGCAGGGAAGCGCAGTGCAGGCTGCAGCAGGGATGAACCCTGATGACACAGGTCACAAAATCACGCCACTCACAAAAGGGCAAAACCTGCTGGTGCAGTGGCTCATGCCTGAAATCACAGCTATTCAGGAGGCTGAGATCTGAGGATCGCAGTTCAAACACAGCCTGACCAGGAAAGTCTGTGAGATGTTTATCTCTAGTTAGCCACCAAGAGCCAAAAATGGAGCTGTAGTTCAAGTGGAAGTGAGCTAGCCTTGAGTGAAAAAGCTAAGGGACAGTACTAAATCCCCGAGTTCAAACATCAGTACTGCCACAACACATTCTCAATGACACAGACACAGACATACAGTCAGATATACACACAGACACAGATATAGACACAGACACAGACACACACAGACACAGATACATACACAGACACACAGACACACACACAGACACACACAGACAGACAGACACACACACACAGGAAGTTTGAGTCCTAGTTACACTAGCCTGAGTGTATTACTCTTTAAGTCAGGTGAACACAAAGGCACAATGCCTATGTGCATCTGATCAGATAAACTAATGTTTATCAAAATGAACTCCAGGAAATGGTTTACTTCTTCATTGCTTCTTTTGTTTTGTTTTTGTCTTGTTTATTCATTTATCTGTCTTTGGAAAGGTAAAGGGGACATAGAAATGGAGGGACAAAGGATAAACGATTTCAGCAGTGGTACTCACTGGACACTGCGTTGAAAATGAACTCTACAACTTGTGGGTAGGGACGGGAGGGAAAATCTGGAAGACAGAGAGGGAAGGGGTGACATTGCTCAAAGTAAAATATACTCATTATCTGACTTATGTAACTGTAACTCCTCTTTACATTCCTTTATAATAATCATTTCTAAAATGTTAAAAAAAGTTTTGTTTTGTTTTGTGTTTGTCAGTTGTGGCGCTGGGCTGTCCCTCAGCTCTTCAGCTCAAGGTTAGCGCTCTAGCACTTAAGCCACAGCACCACTTGCAATTTTTCTGGTGGTTTATTGGAGATAACAGTCTCAGGGACTTTCCTGCCCAGGCTGGCTTTGAACCACAATCCTCAGATCTCAGGCTTCTGAGTAGCTAGGGTTACAGGTATGAGCCTTGACCAGGCAAAAATGTTTTGTAATTTTAAAAAATGTCAGTTGAGTGCAGCTGGTTCAAGGAAGCAGACATTGCATGTGCTGAGCGCACGTGAGCTGAGCCCCGTGGTCTGGTTGACTGCAGGAGGAGGAGAAGGCAGAACAAAGGCAGGGGAAGTCCCACTGCCCAGATCAGGCATGGGCAGGGGTGCCCAGCCCCCTCCCCTCACACAGAACAGCCTTGGCATGGCAGGGCTGAGAAGGCAAAGAGAAACCCACGGATGTGGGAGAAATGGACAGGCAGATGAGGACCTGGGGGCCACCTGGTACAGGGGTGAGGCAGAAGGGTGGAAGGCTAAGCCATGCACTCAACAGGATCCTCAGGTGGAGGGCACAGAGAGCCAGGGGAGGCCAGGGTCGGAGCTGGAGGTCAGATGGGAGCTTAGGCCAAAGGGAGACAGGCAGATGACGCTTTAGGGCAACTGAGGTGACAAAGGCTGCTCGGTGGAACACACAGCTCAGGCTCCCAGCACAGACCTCGCAGGTCCCTCCTCCATCCCTCAGCCTCACTCACCTGGACTCAGCTCCCAGGCCTCCCTGTGCCTGTCTGCTGGGCGTCAAGAACCCGGAGCTTAAGAGAAGGAAGTGGGCAGAGACAGCTGCTCAGGATGCAGGCCTGCAGGGGTCCCTGCCCGGGCCCCACCCTCTGCCCAGACTGGCCTTCCTTCCCTTCCCCAGGCCAACCACCCAGCCAGAGCCCCTCAACCAAGTGTAAGGAAAATGGGCATCACCGTGAGGGCCAAGGGCACAGGCCAGGACAGGCTGGACACACCATCGAGCCCAGCTGAGGGTGGCAGCACCTCATCCTGCTGGGATTGTGGTGTGGAAGGCAGCCCAGGGCCCCACCCGGCTCCGGCGGGCCACTCCCAAGCCCAGCTTCTTACCTGAAGAACACCAGAGCGAGGGTCATCAGGAGAAGGGTTCCGGGGTGAAGCAAGTAGTGCTTCAGTTTTCCTGAAACACAGAGTGGGAAGTTCAGCTGCTCCCCCGCCTTCCCTCACCTCCTCCTGGCATCTCTTTCCTGTGACTTTCTGTGAGGAACCTGCACATGCTGGGCCAGCACTGGTCACTGAGCTTCGAAAGTCAGGAGTTTTCATGGTTAAGAATTGGAATATTGGGGTTTGAGGTGGGGCTCAGTTAGGATAGTGTTAGGGAAGGAGCAAAAGCGTCAGGTACTGAGTTCAAGTCCCAGCCTAAGAAAAAGAAAGGAAGAAAGGAAAGGAAGAAGAACAGAGAAAGGAGGGGAGGAAGAAAGGAAGGAAGGAAAGAAGGAAAGGAGGAAGGAAAGAAGGAAAGAAGGGAGGGGGAGAAAGAGAAAGAGAAGGAAGGAAGGAGGGAAGAAGGCAGGAAGGGAAGAAGGGAGGGAGGGAGAGAGGGAGAGAAAGAGTTCGAATACCCCTAACAGGCCTTCTCAGAAATGCTTACTGCACACCACACACACCGCCACCTGTGATTGGCTCAGGCCCCAAAATCAGTCCTTCCATCTCCCTGTACTACTGGTCTACCTTTACCTTACTGTTTCCTACTCCTCCAGCCATGAAACAACTCCTACTAGCTTCTGGGAAACCAAGGAACCGGGCAGGGAACACCTGACCTCTCATTTGTGTATTTGGCCTGCAGTAAGGTTGGCACCCAGGCCACATTCCTGCTGCCCTGGCTTGCTCAGCGAGCACTGGAGCACTTGGGCCACACCCTCAGCCCTTATTTTTGCTGATTATTTTGGAGATGGTGTCTCATGGACTGATCTGCTGTGGGGAGCTCCAAACTGTGATCCTCAGATCTCAGCCTCCGGAGTAGCTAGATTGCAGGTGTGAGCCACTTCAACCCGGCCCCGCCTTTCCTCTCTCCAGCCCGCCTCTCCTCTCCCAGGCCCCGCCTCTCCTCTCCCAGGCCCCGCCCTCCCCCTCCCCGATCCCGCCTCTCCTCTCCCAGGCCCCGCCTCTCTCCTCTCCCCGGCCCCGCCTCTC